TTATTAATTTTATTCAATTCAAAGAAACCCATCAGGTAATAAATTAAATACAAATTTGCTCATTATAAATTTGCAGTTAGTTAAGAAAATAATTTATTATTTATTACAGCAGCGCGGCAGTCGTCCTTTTGGCAAAATACTTTCACAAGCAAGCCCATTCGGTTTTTATAATGTCAGCAATAATTGTTATCAATTTAATTTTACTAAATCCAAAGGATCGCAACAGGTATTAAACTAAATACAAATTTAATACTAGCTGTAAGTGGAATTCTGTCTTAAGGCAATTAAGGCATCGTGCCTTAAGGCAAATTGCAGGAACTTCCCGTACCAAAAATTATTAATTTTTTAAAAACGATTAACATTTTTGAAAAAAAATTACTTTCAAAAAATAAGATTTTTGAGAAACTATAAATTGGACAAAAAATTACTATTAATAAATTATTATTAATTTTTTTTCTTTATTTTGACATATTGTGGAAGATCTGAACTTTTTTTTTCAAAGCAATCGTACTGCTTTAACTGCATAGGGACAAAATATAAAGCGCGTAAGCGCCGCGTCGCTGTCTAACGCATAAGCATTGGTACGGAATCCATAGGAATGTAAACAAAATTTATACTTATTGTTAAAATCTCTATAAAATATCTGATAATTTGATGTGCATATGTCTAATGATCATTTTTGACCGCCAAATGGCTCATTTTTTTACTTTTTACTCCATATCTCCGAAACCGCTAGACCTACCTTCATGAAAATTTTATCGATTCTTTATCTTGTCAATACAAGTGAAATGTTTTTTGAATTATTCAAATCGAACGCTCCGTTCTCTTAAAAACTGAGTTACCGTTTTCGGCACTTTTTGCCCCGTATCTTCGTAACGGCTAGACCTGCCTTCGCCAAAAACTAATCAGCACGTCTCCTTATCAATACGAATCGAATGTTTTGAATTATTCAAATCGGTTGATCCGTGTTCCCGAAATCGTTGACGAAAATTTGTATCCGCACATACATACACACACGTACATACATACGAGGTGTGTTCAAAAAGTACCCGGAATTACTAATAATTAAATTTCGCGGGTCTGGAGTGTCTGATTGTCAAAATTTTTTTTTTATTGTGTTGGTATACATGCCCCTAAAGTATGATGAAATTTTCAGCTATATTCACTGTTTACTTTGTCTGTGGTAGTCGCTAAGGTTCGACGTGTTTTTCTGAGCTCGGCGATTTTTACAATGGAAGAATTGAAAAGTCAAAGAATTTGTATTAAATTTTGCGTAAAAAATGAAATAAAGTGTTGCAAAGTGCAAAAATTCACCAGATATGGCTCCGTGTGACTTTTTCCTATTCCCAAAGTTGAAGAGACCCATGAAAGGACGGCGGTTTTCCTCGATTGAAGAAAATCGCTGAGAGTGCTCAAGGACATATCAAAAAGTGAATATCAAGGGTGCTTCGAAAATTGGAAAAAACGCTGGCATAAGTGTATTATATCTGGGGGGGACTACTTTGAAGGGGACCACATTAATGTAGACGAATAAATAAATATTTTTTTGAAAAAACGAAAATTCCGGGTACTTTTTGAACAGACCTCGTACATACACACACAGAAACCTCTGAAACTTAAAGATATATAAAAATTTTCATTTTTTATTTTTTTGCGATTACTATAACTTGCCCTACGGGAAGTTAATAATTAGCTAAATGGTAAAAAATGGCAGTTTTTGAGAGAATTAAGCTTCCGATTTAAATGATTCAAAGAACTTTCTGCTTGTTTCAACAAAATTGCTTTTGAAAAAAATTGTTTCTAATTAAAATTAGACTGTTTATGAAATGGAGCAATTTTCCAATTTTGTGAAAACTATTGAAAAATGTGAAAATGCCACCAAGTTAAGCTCAGTATAAATGAAAATATCGCACAGAATTATTTGCAAATGCGTTTAGACGGGAGCACTTTTTCAATTTTGTGTAAATTAGGCAACTATTTTTTTTTGAAATTGAATTCGAAATGAAATGTCGAAGTTCTGGAGATAAATTGATTTATTTATAATTCACATTTGATTTGCTCAGATATAACAAGATAGCAAAAATAATGAGAGCTACAGTATTTGTAATTATATATTTGAAAACGTTTAAAACTTCTCGAATATTTCATTACGGTACGGGAAGTTCCAGCAATTTGCCTTAAGGCACGATGCCATACACCACTAGTTTATTTTTTCAATTCAAGCTATCAATTTGTTACAGCAGCGTCGCAGTCGTCCTTTTTGCAACCTACCTTGCCGAGTCAGATTATCCATATTTAGATATATCAACGTTGACACTTATTTATTTAATTTTATTAAATTCAAGGTGTCCTACAAGGTAATAAACTAAATAATTAACTAACTAAATCAGGTGTTCGATAAATTTGTCAATTTGTTACAGAAGCGTCGCAGCCGTCCTTATTGCAAACTACTTTGAGAAGCAAGAATTTTTGAGTTTAGAAATTTAATTAGCATCAATATTTCATTTTATTTTATTGAATTTGGTGCACTAAATCAAGGTAATTAATAAAATAGTTTATCAACTGTCAATATTGACAATCAAATTCAAACAAGTTTAGAAATGTCGAAATTATTAATTTTTCTGTTAATTTTATTAAATTCCAAGAGACCGTTCAGGTATTAAAATAACTCCAAAGTGCAAAATGCATTTTAAATAAAATTTAGTTAATATGTGAACCATTACAGCAGCGCTGCAGGCGTGGTTTTTGCAAACTACTTAGACAAACCAGCTTATCCATGTATAGATATGTCAACATTAATTGTTTTCTGTTTGGTTTTATTAAATGCAAAGAATCCTCTGAGGTATTAAACTAAATACAAATGAATTTGCAATTGTCTAATAATGTTTAAATTCGAACTGTCAATTTTTACAGTAGCGCCACTGTCGTCTTTTTGGTAAATTGGTTTTACAAGCAAACTCGTTCGGGTTTAGAATTGTCGACATTAATAGTTTTAGTTTTAATTTTAATCAATTCGAACACACGCATCAGGTAATAAACTAAATACCAATAAATTTGACCAACTAGTTTTAAATTCCAACTGTCAATTTTTTTATAGTAGCGTCATCATTGTCCTTTTGGCAAACTGCTTGGAAAAGCCATCTCATCCATGTTTAGATATATCAACATTAATACTTGTTTATTTAATTTTATTAAATGCAAGGAGACCTATCAGGTATTTAACTAAATCAAGATAATAATAAAATAGTTAAAATACATAAATAGTATTAACTGTCAATTTCTTACAGCAGTGCCGCTCTCGTCCTTGTTGCAAACTACTTTGAAAAAGCTAGTACACGTTTGCAAATTTAATCTACATTAATTGAACTTACTATTTAATTTCATTAAATTCGAAGAAAGTTATCAGGTAATAAAAGTTTAGTTGATAAAATACAGTAGAATCCGCTTAGTATGACATCGAAGGGACGCCGAAATCTCGTCATACTAACCGGTTGTCATACAAAGCATACTGAAGAAAAACTTTTTAATATGTAAATACGTTACATGTTCCAGTAATTTAAAAGAAAAGCCTGTACATACATTTTAATTGAAAATAAAAATGACACATATTTAAATTTAATATAAAATAAAATTGACATAGGGTAGGGCGGTGCACAAAGGTCCAATTTGACTTTCAGTAATTATACTGTCTAAACCCAATGAACAACACATAACATACATCAAAGAAGCATCTATCGAACTATGTACAGAAAAAAATTCACATAATTCCTAATTATATAAATATTATGTTTTTTTCTATTTTTTTTTAAATTTAGTATCTGACCCATTTTACCTCACATACGGGGTAAAGTGGGACAAACAGGGGCAAACAGATGCAATTTCTTCTATTAAATTTTAAAGGGATTTTACGCTACATTATTGAACCAATGCAAAATATTAATTCTGTGGGTACATTTGTTACAAAGATAACACACAGTGTATTACATTGATCTGCTATTGGTCAGAAATATTTATCAGACGAGCCGCAATAACAATTTATTTAATTAATCTCTTGTAAAATTGCTTTTTTTTAAACTTTACTATTTTATTGCTTACACCTTTGCCAAAGTAAATGTTCTGCTGGTCCTTTTTATTCCACTCATGTGCTGCTTATCTTCTGATAACAAAGTCATAAAAATAAAGGTGATGGCTGGTTATGAATTTATACATTTTTTGCCCTCTACTACTATCAAATATTTTTGTTAAAAAAAATCTAATTTTATTTGTTTACTAGATATCCGTGGTGAACCATTAATAATTAGTCTACCCTACCCATAAACGTACAAATGTGATTTTTTAATGTAAGTAATCAGTAATTTTTTATTCATTTTGTACAAATTTTATTGTAAAAACAGTCCCTAGTGCTATTGTGCACAAAAGACATAGCAATTGCTTTCGTAGACTTGGCCACATCATGTAAAATCATGTCGGTCATAATAATTGGACATAATTTTTTGCAAAAATGGGTCATTACATGTCAATGTAAGCGATGTCAATATATCCGACCAGACAGCTGTTTTTTAAGGAATTTTATATGGAAACCAAACTTCCTAGTGCGATTACGTCATAATAAGCGATTGTCAATATATCCGGCGTCATACTAATCGAATTCTACTGTAGTTCATTAAAATATTTTTAAATTCAACTATCATTTTTCTTACAGTAGCGCCACAGATCATTTTGCGAATCATTTTGACAAGCCTGCTCATCCATATTAGGATAAATCAACATTAATACTTATGTTTAATTTTATTATATTCGAAGAAACCGTTCAGGTACTAAACCAAATAGTTAAACTAAAGTAAAATAATAAAATATTATATTATTATTGAATATTTTCAAATTCCAACTGTCATTTTCCTACAGCAGCGCCACAGTCGTCCTTTTGCCCGAACTACTTTGACAAGCAAGCTCGTTCAAGTTTACAAATGTCAACATTAATAGTTTTCTTTCAATTTTATTAAATTCTAAGAAACCTTTCAGGTATCAAATTAAATACAAAGTGCAAAATGTATCTTAAATATTTGCTCAATATAAATTTGAAGTTGTTCGATAAGGTTTAGTTCAGTTTAAATTGGAAAATTGAGTTTTTCGAAAGTTGTAAATTCGTTGTGATGGATGTACTGTGATTAATAAATGGATTTATATTGATCGGTGGAAGAAACCAAAGGTAAATGGCAATATATATATATATATATATATATATATATATAATATATATATATATATATATATATATATATACAATATTTATTTATTTAAAGTAATTTTTCATTAAAAGTTATACTCTCTTGGTTCTCAATATGGTGTTCATCATTAATAACTATAATGTGTAACTATTAAATAAAATTAATTATATAAACAATTGCTAAATTAATTTATGGGTGATTTGCAAGTATACTGAGTTGCTGGAGGGTCTTGTAATGTTAGACAAATCCTAGATTATTTATTCAACTTTTTTATTTAATATTTAAAATGCTGTAAATAAATGCTACAGACAGTTTAACTCCAGTTAATATTTTCTAAGTGCCATAATTCAGATATAATATTTTTTATCGGGAACGTGCCTTTATGTGTTAAGTATATAATTAGTTTTTTATTAATATATTTTTTCCTCTAGATGATTGATATAATTAAGCACAAAATTCGTCAAATTAACAAAAATATCACAAATATTAACAATTATTCATTCAGTACTCTTTTTGAGAACTACAAAGTTTAAAGAATTTAATTATGAGTCTGGCCAATCTTTACCCTATTCACGGTTTTATTCAAAATTTTATTATCAAGTGTATATAAGAATTTTTACTATTCGATAGTAAATTTTATCTTGATTTTACTAATTTTAACAAATAAAAGTGTCCGGAATAATTTTTTTAACTGATACTTATTGATTTTCAACTACAAATTATTCAAAATTTATATCTAAGTATATATAGCAATTTATACTAAATTTTGCTAAATTTTATCTAGTTTTTATTGATATAAATAAATAAAAGTGGCCGGAATAAATTTGCAAGTCATTTGACAAAATGTCTCAAATCCTATACCTATAGCCAATTATGAAACTCAAATCTGTGTTTCAGCTACAAATAATTCTAATTTTGCTATCCAAGTGTATATCACAATTTATACTAAATTTTAGTAAATTTTATCTAGTTTATAATGATATGAAAAAAATAAAAGGGTCTAGAACAAAATTTCCAAGTTATTTGACAAAATGTAAAAAAATGTCCCAAATCCTATACCTATAGCCAATTATGAAACTCAAATCTGTGTTTCAGCTACAAATAATTCAAAATTTTGCTATCCAAGTGTATATGACAATTTACACTAGATTTTAGTAATTTCCTAGTTTTTACCAAAATAAATATATTTAAATCTGTGGAACAAAATTTCCAAGTTATTTGACAAAATGTAAAAAAATGTCCCAAAACTCCTTGAGCTAGTTAGCAAACTCAAATCAGGCGTTTCAACTACAAATTATTCAAAATTTCAATATCCAAGTATATATAACAGTTTATACTAATTGTTAGTAAATTTTATCTAGTTTTTACTAATATAAACAAATAAAAGTGTCCGGAAAAAAGTTTCTAAGATATTCGACAAAATATAGAAAAATGTCCCAAAACTTAATCTATAGCTAATTATCAAGTCAAATCAGGCGTTTCAACTGCAAATTATTCAAAAATTTTATATCCAAGTATATATAACAATTTATACTTAATTTTAGTAAATTTTATCTAGTTTTTACTAATATAAACAAATAAAAATGTCCAGGACAAAATATCCAAGATATTTGACAAAATGTAGAAAAATGTCCCAAACTCACATATTGCTAAGTCTCAAACTTAGCAAACTTACTCAAAATTTTGATATTCAAGAGTATAAAACAATTTATACTAAATTCTTGTAAATTTCATTTAGTTTATACTAATATAAACAACTAAAAATTTAATTTTTAAGATAAAATTTTTAAGTTATTTGACAAAATGCAAAAAAATGTCTCAAAACAATGTATTGCTAAACTTAAATTATGCAGATAAATATTTCTGCTTTTTTCTTAATTCCCTATTTTTTCCTAAATCCTAGCTATTATCTTAATTATTATCTTATCTATTTTTTTATATAATCCATTCATTCACTATTATTTCTATTATGTATTATATTTTATATAATATCCTATCTTTCATAAATCATTCTTATCAAAATTCACTAATTTTTTCTTATTACTATTGGATTCTTTGTTTAAGGCTCTACTCAAATATATATATATATATATATATATATATCAACACACATTTATTTTTTTCCAGTCTCCCAAAACGGTTTACTTCTTAAGCAAAATATCACCAGACATCAGCTCGGCCATAAACAGTACATGGCCATATCCAATTTATTCATCGGAACCAAATTTAAGGGCTGTTGCATGTTTCACCAAGGTAAACCATAATTGTATATAATAATAAACTATAGTAAACAATATAAATATTTATTTTTTGTTAGGTAAATAAGGATTTACTACGACCACTCACATATAGAAAAAAAACTCTGATCATTGTAAGCGATTTCCAGTTTTATGTCACAGCGATTGATACTCAGAGTTTGACTGGAACTGTCATGTATCGTTTTACATGTAAGTGATAATAATAATAAATTTATATATATATTTATATATATATATATATATATATTTATTTTATTTATTTATTTATTTATTTTGTAGTAATGATCAAGACTATCTATACACTGGAAAATTGTGCATAACGTCCAATATTTTAAACAATTCATACATCAAAGATTTGGGGGAGAAAGAACAAATAGATACTCTAATTTGTGATAGTTCTATTATTGATGTTCCTGTTGATTTTAATGTGCAAAATGCTGCTGATAAGATTGAAAAGTATTATCAGGTACTATATTAAAATTATTAAAATTTAGAAATGAATTGGAATTGTAGACTTGATTCTTATTACATTACATTTTGTCAAATAACTTGGAAATTTTGTTCCGGACACTTATAATTGTTTATATTAGTGAAAACTAGATAAATTTACTAGAATTTAGTAGAAACTAGTACGTATACTTGGATACTAAAGTTTTGTATAATTTTTAGCTGGAACGCGAAATTGTGTCTGTGTACATTTTATCAAACAACTAGAAAATTTTGTTCTAGACACTTTAATTTATTTATATTTGATTACTTGTAACAATTTAGGTAGTTTAAAATTGTATAAAAAAGTACCTCGAAATGCTATTTGTTACATAATAAAAAATATCTTCGTGATTTAATACTAATGTTAGTAACAAATTATTTAAACTATTTTAGTCTCAACTGTAAAAAAAAAACGAATAATTGACTGACTGATTGATTTAATATGATAAATTAATTAAGAAATGCCTAAATATTGAATTATTCATTTTATCCAGACATTCTTTTCAATATTACAATTTTATGTAATAAGTATTTATTCCTATATATTATATAAGAAATAGTCAAAGATGAAATAAATATCCAAATATATTGAAAATATAAACTGAAATGTTTCTAACAAAGTAATTAAAATTTTGATTTTAGGAATTATTCAAACATGAAATAGTTATTAGTATGGATACTTTTGGAATGGAAGATTTGCTATTTGAAATAGCCTGTCGAGGATACTCTGTATACACTGGGTGTTCCAGAAATGCTTTTTTGAGAATCCAAAATGCTGATTCATATTTTACAACTTCTAGAGATGCTGTTTTAAGAGTTTGTTAATAAAGCATTTTGTGTGAACATCGATGATTGTTACAGGTAATAGAAATATGAATAATACACACACACACACACACACACTATATATATATATATATATATATATATATATATATATATATATTATATTTATTAGGGTGGTCCTTAGCATGGACATTTTCGAATTTCTTTTCTCCCAAGGGCTCAAATTCTTCTAAATTAATTTAACAAATCTTTCCTCATGTTTTTGTTCCAAAAGTTGAAAATCGTTATATGCAGTTATGTAGATAGTTTCATAAGCTTTTTAATGATGTAAAGCAAAATTTATGTGCTGTAACAAGTTTTTCCACATTTTAAACAGATGTCACAAAATGTATAAAGCATTTGAGTTATACGAATTCAAAGTTTGACGACTTTTTTCGTCATGTTTTTGTTCCAAAAGTTGAAAATCGTTAAATGCAGTTATGTAGAGATTGTATAAGCTTTTCATACATGTAAAATAAAATGTATGTGCTTGAACAAGTTTTTTGCACATTTAAATAAATGTCGAAAAATGTGCTCGCAAATCAATTCTTATCGATTAAGCTGAACCACCATTGTTGATATAATTCTGGAATTGGATAAAAATAATACACAAAAGTATTTATTCAGTGACTATGATATTTACTTTTATGTGTTCAATATCTTTTTCGGAAAATTTCTCTCGGGGACCTCCTAAAATAAATATTTTTGCTCCTGATAAACTTCTATCGTTCATTTCGTCCTTGTTACTGAGGGAATAAATTTCATACATTAATTCGCGAGTATATTAACAAATTTGTAGAATGCTGTTCTGCGACCAATCACAACGCTCGAAAATTGGCTAATTAATTTCGTTTGTTTTCGTTTCCTTTCGTTTCCTTTCGCCCCTTTCGCATAGGTTATAAATAGGAGTGCGCGAAGGAAATCGTCGCAGTCGTCGGCCGCGGCCGGCGCCAGCGTCACCTAGGGCGGCGCTGAAAGCCCCCGGGGCACCAGACCGGCAGCTCCCATCGGAGCTGGAGTGGTCGGGAGCCCCGGGGCATCCGCCGGAGACTCCCGGCAACGGAGACTACGAGCCACGGGGACACCGTGCCAAGGAGACTCCGAGCCACGGGGACACCGTGCTTCGGAGTCCCCGTGCCTCGGAGAGTCCGTGCCTCGGAGACTTCGTGCCTCGGAGACTCCCGGGTCATGGAGACTCCGCGCCACGGAGACTCCGAGGCACGGAGACTTCGAGCCTCGGAGACACCGTGCCATGGAGACTCCGGACACGGGGACTCCGTGCCATGGAGACCCCGGGCCCCGGAGACTCCGCACGCGGAGAGTGAAATGTAATTAGGACACTATAAAAATACAATTTGAATCGACTTCGTCGCAATCCCGTCTTCGTGGCCCAGGGTCTCCATGGCACGGAGTCCCCGTGTCCGGAGTCTCCATGGCACGGTGTCTCCGAGGCTCGAAGTCTCCGTGCCTCGGAGTCTCCGTGGCGCGGAGTCTCCATGACCCGGGAGTCTCCGAGGCAACGAAGTCTTCGAGACCCGAGTCTCCGTGGCACGAAGTCTCCGAGGCAACGGAGTCTCCGTGGCTCGGAGTCTCCGTGGCCTGGAATCCCCGTGGCACCGAGTCTCCGTGGCTCGGAGTCTCCGTGGCACGGAATCTCCGTGGCTCGGAGTCTCCGTGGCACGGAATCTCCGTGGCCGGGAGTCTCCGGCGGATGCCCCGGGGCTCCTGACCACTCCAGCTCCACAGGAGCTGCCGGTCTGGTGCCCGGGGGCTTTCAGCGCCGCCATAGGTGACGCTGGCGCCGGACGCGGCCGACGACTGCCAAGAATTCCTTCGCGCACTCCTATTTATAACCTACGCGAAAGGGGCGAAAGGAAACGAAAAAAAACGAACGAACAATATTAACTAATAACATACGTCATGTGATTGGTCGCAGAACAACATTCTACAAATTTGTTAATATACTCGAACTAATATATAAAATTGATTTCTTCAGTAACAAGGACGAAATATACGAGAGAAGTTTATCAGGAACAAAAATATTCATTTTAGGAGGTCCACGAGAGAAATTGTCCGAAAAAAAAATTGAACACATAAAAGTAAATATTACAATTACTAATTAAATATTTTTGTGTATAAATTTATTCTATAATTCCAGAATGGTGGTAGCGCTTAATCGATAAGAATTGATATGCGAGCATATTTTTCGACCTTTATTTAAATTGTGCAAAAACTTTTTAAGCACATACATTTTATTTTACATGTATAAAAAGCTTATGAAATTCTCTACAGAACTGCATTTAACGATTTTCAACTTTTGGAACAAAATCGTGACGAAAAAATCGTCAAACTTTAAAATTGTGTAACACTGCTAACGAAATGTTTGTGCGTTTTTTAACATTTGTTTAAATTGTGCAAAAGTTTGTCAAAACACATAAATTTTATATTATATAGATAAAAAGCTTATAAAATTCTCTACATAACTACATATAACGATTTTCAACTTTTGGAATGAAAATATTACGAAAAAAATCATCAAACTTTGAATTCGTATAACTCAGCAAAAATGCTTTAAACATTTTGTGGCATCTGTTTAAAATGTGCAAAAACTTATTAAAACACGTTGATTGTATTTTATATGAATGAAACGTTTATAAAATTCTCTAAATAACTGCATTTAACGATTTTCAACTTTTAGAACAAAAACATGACGAAAAAAGTCGTCAAACTTTAATAAAATTGCAATCATAAATGAAAATGGTTATACATTTTCTCACATTTGTTTGAATTGCGCAAAAAATTGTTACAACACATAAATTTGTTTTATACATATAAGAAGCTTATGAAATTCTCTACACAACTGCATTTACCAATTTTCAACTTTTGGAACAAATACATATATGGACCATCCTAATATATATATATATATATATATATATATATATATATATATATAAACAAGATGATTTTATTTATTTCAGACGTTATATGAATAAAAACATTATAACAATAATACCTTCAGCAATGTATTCTGTTAAAGAAATGTTGGACTTGAGAAAAGTTGGTGTACACATTGTTAACTATGAAGATCGGACAACTGCACAAGCTTTGTACCAATTGATCAAATTGGTTAAACCGATTCGTCTAAAAAGTTCTACCAAAGGTGAAAGTTTTAAATTGAAAACTTATGGACGGTTATGTAGAAGACCAAGAGTATTCCAAGACTGTCTGAGACTTCAATACATTGTAATGATGATCAGAAGGAGTTACAAAGTGATGTTTTGTTAAATGAAATTGCTGAAGAGAAAATTGTTTTTCCAGTTAAGCAAGAAGATGCCAAAGTACCAGACGTCCTGGTAAAAATCAGCAGCACGAGTGATTTCAATTTAGATTCCCTTACATCATACTTCAACCACCAACAACCTGGTCCAAACGATCCCTACATATCCCTATCAAATGATATTCTTCTAAAAAGTAAACCTGAAGAAGTTCTTACTAATCGTCAAAAGATGTTAAAAGCCAAAAACAAAAAGGCTGCAGATAGTTTAGCAGCTTTAGCAATTGCAGCTTTGGAGCCTTTTCAAAAAATGCATTTGTTTACGAAGCATAAATTGCAATTCATGGATGATAATTTTATCGATCCTGTAGAGATGAGTAAAAATTTATACAGGTTTCATATACAGCACCATTTGGATTGTATAAAAAAATTGAAGGAAGAGATGGGTAAAATTGGCGGTAAGAGGAAAAGAACTGGGTAGTAGATATATGTTTATTTATTTATTTATTTATTGAGATTGTAAAAAAGTGTTTGAAAGATTTTTATTATATTGTAGAATACAGTGCAAATATTTTATATATGTA